GTGTGTGTGTTAATCTATGAAAATATGACTGAAAAGCATCCATCCATCCATCCGTCCATTTTCTTCTGCTTTTCAGGGGTCCGGTCACGGGGGTAGCAGCCTAAGGGAGGCCCAGACTTCCCTCTCCCCAGCCACTTGGGCCAGCTCCTCTGGGAGAATCCCAAGACGTTCCCATGCCAGCTGAGAAACATAGTCCCTCCAGCGTGTCCTGGGTCTTCCTCTGGGTCTCCTCCCGGTGGGACGTGCCAGGAACTCCTCACCATGGAGGCGTCCAGGAGGCATCCTAAACAGATGCCCGAGCCACCTCAACTGGCTCCTCTCGACGTGCAGAAGCAGCGGCTCTACTCTGAGTCCCTGCCAGATGATCGAGCTTCTCATCCTATCTCTAAGTGAGAGCCACTCTGCGGAGAAAACATTTCAGCCACCTGTATCCGTGATCTCGTTCTTTTTGTCACAACCCAAAGCTCATGACCATAGATGAGGGTAGGAACGTAGATCGACTGGTAAATCGAGAGCTTTGTCTTTTGACTCAGCTCTCTCTTCACCACGACAGACCGGTACAGCACCCGCTTCACTGCTGATGCCACACCTATCCGCCTATCGATCTCACACTCCTTTTTTCCCCGCATTTATGAACAAGACCCAGAGATACTTAAACTCCTCCACTTGGAGCAGGATGTCCTCGCTGACCCAGAGAGGGCACTCAACCCTTTTCCAGCTCAAGACCGTGGGCCTCGGATTTGGCGAAGCAGATCCTGACTGAAAAGCACTCGAACGTTAATTTTACTAAACATCCTGTTTACCAACACAAACTGAAGCCAACCGTCCGTAGATCAGTTATGTGACTCAAGCTTCCTTGTGGTTTTTAATTTAGTCAAGTGAACATGTGCTTTGTTTACACTGAGTGTGGACCCGCATTTCAGAATTGCATTCAATATTAATGGAAAACTACAGACTAAACAATTTTACCATACCATACCACTTTATTTATAAAGCACTTAAAACAGCAACAAGGCCAACCAAAGTGCTGTACAGACAAAACAATAACACACAAAGCAAAATACAAAATGAAGTAAATCAGAATATAGACATAAAAACAATGCCGATAATGACGACAAATTTTATACCCATTTATGTTTGATTTCATACTTTACAGCTTTAATCCATCAGAGACCTGGAAGGACTTTGATTGCTCTTTCAAATCTTCTTTTTTTTTTCTAAACAGGTAAATCTATTTGCCAATTAGCTTTGCTAAGATTGGAAACAATTATCGACTAAAATAGCTATTGATTTAGAGGTAGGGTGAATATTTGAGTTATCCAAGAGAGACTTGCAGCCCCTTACATATCGACAGGAGACAGGTGTGGTAGTTTGGGCATCTGGTAAGGATGCCCCTTGTACACCTCTCTGAGGTTTCCTGTGCATGACCGATTGGGAGAAGACCCTGAGGAACACTCAGGACATTTTAGGGAGGCTATAGGTCTCTCTGCTGGTTTAGAAACACCTGGGAATCCTTAAAGAAGAGCTGGTTGTGAAAAAAATGTCTGGGCTTCCTCCCTGCTTGGGCTGCTGACATCGCAAACCAACTCCAAAACAAGCAAAGGGAAATGGATGGATAGTCGGATGAATGGATTATTGACACTCTTGTACACACTCACTGATATTTATCAATCATCTTATTGAATCTTTCAAAAAGTAAGCATTGCACCATGTGGTACTTGTTCTAAATATTAATAATAAAAGTAGCTAGAGCTGTTGCCTCAAAGCAAGAAGGTGGCAGGTTTGTCTCTCAGCCTTTCTGTGTGTTTTCATGTCCTCCCTGTGCAGAAGTGAGTTTTCTCTTTGTACTCTGATATGAGTGAGTGTGAATGGTTGTTTGTCTTATTTGTCTCCGTGTCTCTGTGATAGACTTGCCACCTGTCCAGGTTGAACCTCACCTGCTGCACAGTGACTGCTGGAGATAGGCATCAACTGCCCTGTGACCCAAAAAGGGAGAAGTGTGTAAAGATGATGGATGGACATTCTAAATGTTCAAAATGTTTGGTCCATTCCAAACTCTCTAAAATCCTGACTAAATTCATGGTTTCCTGTATTAATTGTCAATTTTAGCTTTTGTGACGTCAACCTATATTTCTAAAGTCAGTTTTCATCCACAAAACCTGAACATCATAAAACACCTTATACATTTGTCAGTCCTTGGCACACAATCTTGCACTCTGATCATGCACCATCCCACACAAAAAAAATGTCAAAAACGTGATGAATTCAACCTCTATCAAATCCTTCAAAAACATCTATTTGTAATCTTCAAACAATGACAGCTGAACACACTCCAAAGCACTGAGATTTGCTGCAGACACTCTGACCCTCTGTTGTTGAAGAATACTCAACTGCTTCTTGACAGCTTCCCCGAGTGTCATTTTTCAGCATGAATGGGGCCTGCAGATGGCAAATGAGGTTACCATGCCAACTGATGTTCTAATGCTGATTGTGCATGTGAAAGATTAGAGATGGGAGATAAGCCTCAAAATAATTACATGTAAAGTAAGAAGAGTCAGTCTTAGTATTTAGTAAAGCAGCATTAGATAAATAGAATTATGTGGACAAACTGATGAAATCAAAGCATCAAAGAGCTGGAAATTACAAATAAATCTAATCAGTGTCTAAAACATGTAATTACCAAAAATCCTAAACCAATATGCAGGGAACCTAATCAGATAATTTACCAAAAATTGTCAACCATGGTGACAGTAATTATTTGAACATTGTGTTAAAATGGAATAATGAATGAATAAAAAAAACATGCTTCACAAAAGTCAGATTATTACAATTTTTTGGGATCCTCGTTTCCATCTCAGGATGTCAAGTTCTCCCTCTCACAATGCTTTTTTGAGTGGGAACCTGGAAGTGACAGAAATAAAGTGCTCCATCTGCAGCTGGCAGGCGGTGGCAAATGAACCAATTATGCTCTGATGAAGTCCTCTCTTCCACCTACAGGCAACAGCAGACGTCATCTTCATCATGATGAAATGCTGAGAGGCTGCAGGGGTAATTAAATACCAGCAGGGGCCTAAAGGCAGACATAATAACTCCATGTAACAAGGCAATAATAAACTTAAGAGTTATCTCAAAGCACGTTAATGGTGAGAAAGATCACTTACTGCACACAAATATTCAGATAAGGTTGCAAACACCTTAGAGAAAAATGACCTAGTTAAGAGTGACCTGAAGGAGATGAAATATAAAAAGTACCATATGCCACTCTTTCTGCAGCTGAGATTTAGCCATCTTCTATCAGAATTAATTTCATTTATTGTATGTTTAAAAATGCAATCCTGTTGTAGCATTTTGCCATCTGCTGGCAAAAAAATGCTTGTGCAACATCATTCAGGACAATAGGGGGAAAAAGAAGCATTTTTACTATCTACAAGAATTTAAACTTAGACAATCACTGGTGAAATGATAAAATAAAATGCTATTCAAATATCACTTTAAATCAATAAATGGGCAGAAATTAATCATTCTTTATTACATTTTCACCAAATTTTCTTTGTATAAAATAAATATTTACAAAATGAAAGGCGATGAGGCAAAAAATATCAAATGATTTCCTGTAAATCCTCTACCTTTTTGAAGTCATTTACATATTGTATTGATAGTTCTTGCAAATGTGGTTTTCTGAAATTTTGGCCAAGTTTCACTATGCAACTGTGTTTCATATATAGGACTATTTGAGCCTCGTTTATTTTACATGCACAAAGGCATGGTCAGGCTGCCTTTAGGCTCAGACCTCCCTTGAAAAAGAGGTTTCTGATCTCATTGAGTTAAATAAAGGTAAAATAAATAAATACATTTATGTGATTATTTTATATGATTAATTCATTTGCATTTACTTTTCTTTGTTTATTTGTCCAATACTTAACCCTCTTGCAATGCTTTGTAGCTCTTTTTTTTTATCTCTTCTGGTATATCCTTTTAATTACCATTTTATTTTCACTTGTTAAAAAATAATAATAAATGTACGCATCCTTCATGGTTGTCTATTGTTGTCTTTGATGCCCAGTATTTTTATCACTCTTTGTTAAAATCAGGTCACTCTTGCAAATGAGTCCACAAGACTCAATGGGATTAACCTGTATAAATAAAGGTTGAATGAATGAATGGTTTTTCGTCATGATTCTTTTGTCTTGTTTTAGTCCCCCACCCCATTTTTTAGTTCATTATTTCCAGTGTGGTTACTTTGTTTAGTTTAAAAAAAATGTATCTCATTTTGGGAGTTTTGTACTCTTTTGTAAAACAAGTCTTGCCTTTGACCCCAGAAACTCTTCAATCATAATAAGCAAAGTGCTGAACAGCAATGATAATAATAAAGAATTAAGATTAACGAATAGATTTATTAACACAAGTTCTGGGTCTTGCAAAGATATAATTGTTTGTTATAAAAGTTGTCAGTTTGTAGACGAGACACATTTTTTTTGTCCCTCATTGTTCCGTTGTTCTGCTTTTGTTGTTAATAAAATTCTTAAAAAAAAAAACTTACGACTTCCGGTTACGTTTCTACGGCAACGGACTGGAGCTTCCTCCTAGAGGATCATGGGAAATGATACTTTCAAATGAAGCGTATATTTTCTTTACGATAAAATATTTAATATCAGTGCTTCTTTTACACGCTTGCCCTAATCTCAAATGATTTTACCTGTGACTATGGCGAGTGTTGTTTAATTAGTCAAGTTATGATTTTTAGTGAACAGTTCGCCTACTGTATACACTTTTAGCTAGGAAGCTAACGCTACAACAACGGTGCGGATAACTGAGGTAATGTTTCGTTGTTTTTTTGTTTTTTTTTGTGAGGTTATTAAGTCTGTCTTCTGTTAATAACGCAAACTTTAATGTTATTAGTACATTTAACTTATTATCAAAGCCCATTTACACATTTATTAATGAATACATGACTATCCAGGTAGACTTTTTGCATCATCAGTAGGTAGAGATTAATAAACATGGAGCTGAAGTTGGAAGTTATTTTGTCATCAAGTATCAAACGGAAGAAACCATGGCCGCGATTCTGCTGGCTCGGGCAGGTGAGAGGTGTCAACTATTGAAAAATAACCACTAGATTACCACATGTACTAGTCATCTTTGAGAAAACAATTGAACTGTGCCATTACTCCTCAGGAGAAGGAGTCTGTGTTTCTGTTAGATGATAAACGGATCAGTGAGATCAACATGGTGTCTGGTCGCACCAAGAAGAAGACACCTAAACTTCATCATTTGCTGAACAATGTGGTGATAATGGCTTCATCCCATAATGGTGAGAGTATTTTGTTAAAAACAAATTAAAAACAATATTGTCATGTTGGATTGTACATAACTGTTGGTGTTTTCCAGGGATGTGGCTGTGTGGACTTTTGGTGTCAGGAGAACTATTTCTGTGGAACAGGGATAAAGATTTATTAAAAACTTCTGCAGCAGTCCCTGAAGTAGCTCAGATAGTATCCTCAACTAAAGGTTTGCACTGTATATGTTTAGACCTTGAATCTGACAACTAATTTGAAAATAGTCTGACCTGCTGGTTATTTTTTTGGTCAGTTTGTTTACATTTTTAACATGTGGTGTCATATATAAACATAGCAGTCATCAAATCCAATCCTGTCAGTTAAAAAACATGTAAAGGTGAAATCTCAACTTGAAATTTACTTTTTACTTCTATCATTAGTATAATAATAACTAATTTGTATTTTTTTGCATGTCATTGACTCACTAATTTTTAAATTAAATATGTCTGCTTTTTCACAGAGAACTCTACAAAGTTGTCTCTTCAGGTTTCATGTGATGGGATGCGTGTGCTCCTGGTAGCTATAACTGGCCAAGTGCTCCTGTGGGAGTGTACAGATGTGAGAGACCTCACAGGTCTACGAGATGGCCCTGTCAAGGGACACTGGGTGCATATACAGCCTCTTGAAGAGACCGTATTGCCTTCTTCACAAGATAAAGAAGCATCTCAGCACACCATCTTTGTCAAGACAGAGGTCTACATACTAAATAACATATATATTTGTGCACTATCTCAATTTATGACTTGATTTTAGAGAGCAACACCTATAATATGTAGGCATTATAGCTAATAGCATAATAAGTTTTTTCATAATTTCTTAGGTTATGGGTGACGTTTGCTTGTCAGCCTTTGTTTTCACATCTGGGAATCAGCTTCTAATCACTGTTCTTAAAATTCGGTGGAAAGAAGGCCATGTGAGGATGGGGTGAGTGAACAGGTCTACGTCAGTGCCACACTGAGTTTTATGTCTTATTCTTTTTAAATGTGAGCATTTTTTCTTTTAGTTCTGCTGGTTACAACATACAGTGGGCTACCAAGACATGCTCCATGTCTCATCTCAGCCCACTATGTCACCCGGTGAAGTCAAGAGGGGCCTTGGTACCAGCCTTCTCCCCAGATGGTCAACTGTTAGCCATTGTCTTGAACCAGAGAAAGCCCATGGTGAGAATATGGCCTTTCTAGTTCATTTGCAACTTCTTGATCTGTTTAGTTCAGAATATTTGATTGTTAAAACAGTAAAAAAAACATATTGTACCTTGTTTTAAATACAGGCTACACAGATTCTGTTTGTGAGCACACAGAACTTTACCACAATATCAAGTGGCCTTGGTGGATGTGGAAGTAAGAAAGCTGATATTCCATCTAAATATATAAGGTGAGTGTGCAAAAATAAACTTAACCAGAGATGTTGTCATTTTGCATTTGTCAAACAACCACATGTGGAAAGTCAAAACCAAGGAATGAGTGCAGCACTACATGTTCATATCCTGGTATAACGAAAGAAAAAAAGAACTTTCTTCACATTTTATGGCCAAAATCAAACTTCCAACATGTTTCATCAAGACGTAGCTACAAATTACAAGTACCAGTATCCTGTTGTTGTTAGAAAAAGAGAATGTTTGTGTTCTTGTTAAATTGTAACATATTTTCTCTTTAAGGTCATACTGGGTGGGCAGTATCTGCTGGTCACCTGGAGGCCTTTTCTTGGCTTGCGTCTTGAAAAGAGGCTCCCTTCTGATGTTGGCTCGTCTAGGGGGACTTCTGACTTTAACAAGCTCTGGTTGCAATGTTGACTTTGGTCCTGCACAGTTCCTACCCTTGCACCCACTGGTCACTTACAGGTAAACTCATTTGACTTGTAGTTATATATTTGTTTGATTTGACAGTTTCTTATTTTTTTGTTCCTAAATCTTTTTCATCCAGTCTTTTCTAATGATTGTTTTACTTATAATTTTAACCTAAAGTAGGAAATGAAATGGAAATCTAGAATAAAATGTGTGATGTCTGTGCACTTTGCAGACTGCCAGTGTCTGCAGTGAAAGGCGAAGCCTCCCTGTCCAGCTCGAGCATGTCTGTGCGTGACATCCTGAGGCAGCGGTATTCTGTGACGTGGCACCCACGACTGTTGTATCTGATTGTGTCTGATGGCTACATGGCCACAGTTATGAGAGTCCTCGACACGCCTTCTCCTGCTGTGTTCCTAAAGACTCTTCTAAAAGATGTTAGCAAAGATCTTGAGAAGGCCAGCTGCAAACTAGATAAATCACGGGTGATTAACCAGATCATTTTGACAAGAAAACAGATTTTAAAAGAAACATTCTCACTATATGGCTATATTGTTTACAATTTTTTCTTGGTTGTATAGTAGTTCACTCACTTCCAGTATTTTCAGGTTCACGTGAAGGCTTGGTTGGAGTCTGTATCTTGCTTGAACCTGGACATCACCCTTGATGAGTTCAACCCTGCTGTTACATGTCGGCCCAAATTCTCAGACTCAGCCATTTCAGTGGACACAGATGCATCCAAGTTGCCACTTTTCCTGCAGGACCAGCAGACTTTGGGTGGCACCAAGGAGCTTCTTGAAAGCATGCAGGTCATTACAATTTAATATTATGGAAACATTTCTAGAATTTGTCTGAAAGTGAATTTAAAGTGTTGTGACGTATCATGGCTGATGGTTAAAAAACTTTATTCTTACATGATGTTTGTTTACATTAGTTTATTTGTGTGCTTTCCTAGGCCTTCTTTGAGGATGAGTCTGATTTAGAAGGACTTCCTGCTGGTTCTCATATGGAGGAAGGAGGTCGTTTGGAGTTTGCCTCCATGTTTGACACTCTTCATGCCATGGAAACTTGTAATGACCCTGCATTTCTTGCTGACCCAATTTATAAAGACTTTGTTGAATCTGAGAAGATTCCTCTTCAGCAGGAGTTAGGAAGGATCCAGAGTAGGCTGTTAACAGCTTGGGCTTTTGGCATGTCACTGGGAAATGCTGTTGAACACAGATTTTCTTTGATGAAGCATACACTCCGCTGTGTAGTTCGATTTGCTGCTTTGCTCCATTTGCTGCCCAGCTCCACGGTCCACACAGGAGAAAAGAATCACTCCACTTTTGCTTGCCTCCTGCATCTCATCAAATCCCTTCTTTCATTCCTTCCCTGGGATAGGGCTTCATCTGCTGAGCTGTGCTGCTTGGGGTTGTTGGTGGAGTTTAGTAAATGTATTGTACACCTTCTGCTAACCCCTCACCCTGACTCCTACCAGACTGGGCACTGTCTCGTATCATCTCAAAGTCTGTCCAGAATCATAAACATCTTGCAGCTGGTCACTGATTCTCTTGACCGTGCCTATAGCCTACATCAAAGAATTTACAGGTCTTCTGAGGAGGAAGTAACTCCTTCTCAGCCACATGTCTGGCCTTCAGATGTATATCAGGTACATCTGCTACAAAATGAGAACACAGAAAAATCTGTTTCTACACATCGGGCTCTACCTGTTCCTCATCGACCCTCTAGCAGGTAAAGACAGTCTATTTTTACTTTGTATTCATTAAGCAAATAATTTGAAGTGATATCAGACATGCTATGTGGTGACTCTTGAATTTAGTTGTCTCAAAACTTGACAACTGTGGTGTTTTCTCTTTGTTTTAGATTGCTGGGAGTATGGCAGCTGGTCTATAATATAACTCAGCAGTATGCAGAAGAACTGAAAAGGTTCAAAGGCTGTGATGGCTGGGAAGAGGAAGATCAAATGTTGTCTGTCATCATGTCCCAAATCCAAACAGCTCTGCAGGCTACAGGACAAAGTCTAGAGGAGGGCCATTCACTGCTGAGTTATGCAGGTTTGCACCAGAAAACAGTTACAAACTGTTATTGGGTGTTTATGTAGGTGTATTAATAAATATAGAAGATATAATATGTGCATTATTTCTTAATTGGTATTTCAATAGAAGTGGAGAGTAAAATCTATTTTCAGGCAAGATTCTGAATCATTTGTTAAACAATAATGTTCTATTTAATTGCATTTAAAAACATAATACTGAGGGACACAATAGGTGTTACTCAGAAGTGTGGACAGTCCTGACTGTGGCATGCACATAACAGACACATGCACAAGATGACTGAGCAAGATACACTATTTGACTGGAAGTACATTAATTGAAAGTATGCAAATAGTCAAAATGCATCTATAATTGTTTTATCATTACAACACAGCCCTCTAATCAAATCAAAGTGTGAAGTGTCTAAACATACCCCACTCTCTCAGTTTCAACCCCAAGCAGAGTTTTCAGAGAAGACTTTGTAGATGTAATTGCACACATTGCTGTTTAACTTGAAATTTCCCTCTTGTCTTTTTAGGCGAACATCTTTTCCTGTGTGGTTTGTACCCAAAAAGTGCAGAAGCATGGCGTTTACAAATCTGTGAAGAGGCCTGCAAAAGTAAAATTTAAACCACTCCAAACAAATCAAAGTACTCTTTTACATGTTAGGTTATCTTAATAATAATCAATTGTCTTCCTGTTAGGTAGTAAACGAAGCGTCTTCCAGGAGACGAGGCTTTGTCTGGCGCTCCTTTATAGTCTGCTGTCCCAGTACCGTTTGAAGGAAGCCCAAGAGTTTGGGGACCACATGGCACAGCTGATTTTGCTTCGTGCTGGGAACCAGATTGACAGTCTGACTTCCATAACAGGTTGGTCATGAATAACATTTTTTTTAGTGTTTGAATTTAGCTCCTGAAGTTAGTGTATCCACTTATACTACATCCATCCATGTATACATGCATACATCTTTCTGTTTAATAACATTGAATATGTGCATTACTGAGCCAAAAACAACACAACACATGTTTAATTACCGTATTTAAAAAATCTGAACCAGAGACCTTTGTTAAACCTTTTTGGTGATGAGCACACAAACATAATTGTGAAAAAGCACCCACAATATTAATCCATGTTAGACCTTTATGTAGACTATAAACCCTCCTCTTAATAAAGATTTTCTTCTGGTTATGAATAACCTGAAACTCAACTGGGAAAGTTAGTCGGATTTTCTACAAATATACATTATTTAGATGTTTTAATGTGTTTAATCTGATTTCTGCATTTTTATTATCATTCAAACGGAAAGTTTGAAACTTTTGGCACTAGTGTGCGAAAAAGGAATTTATGTACAGATTGTAAAGTAATTTTTACTCTATGATAATCAATAGTATCTCAAAGTGTATGTTAATACTGTCTAGATGAACTTTTGCTCCATACAAATAAGACTGACCGTTTAAATAACTCAAGGTCTTGGCAAACCAATGTTTAGAGCTGCACAAACAAGTCTGATGCTATTTCTCACTGTAATGACAAGGTTATGAACTCAATGTGTTTTGCTTCGAATCAAATATATAATTTTTTCCTATTGAAAAGCCAGCAGCTGCCGTAAAGGTACATGTGATAATGATAAACACTTTTAGACCATTTCTCCTCAGAAACACAATATATAAAGTGTTTTCTTTGGCTTTACCTTTGACAAATGTCAGAAACAGAAGTAACAAGTGAGAAAAATACATCAAAATAATGGCATTTTTCCTTTTTTAACCACATTTGTTAAGAAAGTGGGAATATCAACTTGTTAAAAACTGACATTGGAACCCTTTGGGAGTGCAGATTTGTGTCCTGTCCTCTCCAGGTGTCTATAATGCGCGTTGGAGACATCATAAATCCAGCTTTACTGGCTATTTACAGGTTGTGCAAGAAGTAGTAGTTACTACAAAAAAAGATATATGCATATTCTGTCCCTGTCCTCATCCCCTTCAACAGATCGTCTTCCTTGCCCCTGGCTGCCAATGAATCTTCATAGCGATGCAGCCAGTGCCGTAGTTCAGACCCTTGGGAGATTCATGGCCTCTTATTTCACCAACCAGCCGCTCTTCATTCTGCCTGCTCATAATGTGGCTGTCCTGCCTCCGCTACTTCTACCTCACAGTTTGTTTTCAAACGTTTCTTGTCAGTTTAAATTTTTTATTTATTTATTACTGTTGCTTTATGGTAATACATCAATGCCTTTGTTTTTTCAGCCCCAAACGTTGGCCGTTTGGTGCCTCTGTGCCAAGAGGATGCGGCTAAGGCAGTTCGACAGCAACATCTGTCAGAAGTTTGGACAGTGGACTATGCCCTGGACCTGCTCCTGCTGGGGGGGCTGCTTCCTGAGGCTGTGTGGTTGGCTTATCATCTCGGGGACTGGAAGACGGCTGTCACTCTGAGTCTGGCCTATATCAGTTACTGCACTGAACGTTGTGACTTCACTCAGTAGGTTTAAAACCACCAAACGAACAAAGAGAGATGATACTGCATCCATAAGAGTTGCTTTCAAACTATAACCAGTTTTTGTGAACATCTCCATGACAGGGTCAGGAGGAGAGAGCTCCACCTGCCAACGGTTTTACAACCAGAAAGCATTTTTCAGGCTGAGCTGGGGAGTCATCTTGGCAATAAAACTGACTCCCAAGAGTGTGCTGATAAAGATGAAGACAAGAGTTTAACAGGTTAGTTGAACCTCACATGTGTAAATAAGTTTGAGAATGATGTGGTCATATAACTCAAATCTAAATTTGTTGCACCCATTTCTGTAGATCCTTTGGAAGGAGAAGATTGGGACATGTTATGGGCTTCTGTGCAAGAGATTCTGAAAGCTTCAGTCATGGCAGGAGTCGATGTTATATCGTTGCCTTTGTCTTCTTTGTTGGAAAAAGCCAAAAACATGAGTTCTTCCCTGCCTGCCCTGGTGCCAACTGGACTTTACCTACCTTCTCCACCTCTTTATTGCCCTCAGCCTTCTCCTAACACACAGGTACACTACAAAAGCATTTTAACTTTTACACTTATACATTTTCCTATGAAAAGATGCAACACTGTGTTTCATGTTCAGGATCAAATAGGGACCAAGGGGCAATTTGAGGAAATTTCATGTCGTCACAAAGTGTCTGGAGTCCTCCAAAGAGTACTGTTACTTCTGAGGTCTGCTCGTTGTTGCCATCCAGCAGCTCAGTGGTACATCAGTCGTCTGCGCCGTGCCAGACATATTCTCCACAAGGTTTGTCTTTCCAAAATCCAAAAGATGTGTTTTTATTGGATTTATGATAATTAAAGGCTTCGTTTGTTGCTAAAAGTGATGTTCCTAGTTGTGATTTATAAGTGTATAATAAGAGTTAAATTTGTAATCAAGTATTCACATTTTTTTTAAAGTGCTTGTAGTTTTCTGTTTAACTACAATTTTAGGTGTTTCTCATGTGAAAAGGAAATACGAATTAAAGACAAAACTGTCAAATTGTGGTTGCTTTTGTTGTGTAGTTTACACATTAATGTGCTCAACTGTGAATGTAATGAATGATATTCATAAATGGTTTATTTATTTTTTTAGATCAAGAAGACGTATTCCTATCCATCTGCTGATAAGGAGGAAAAGGCTTTCCCAGAAGGACTGATGAAGCTGATCACCAGGGATGGATACTTTAGACGAGGGCCTAATAAAGACGGTCGCCTGGACTCCGACATCATCCACACTATTAGTAACATTGCATTTCTTAATTTTGAACATCATGGTAAAATATCTAATATTTTTCTGTGCTTATTTGCAGTTGTGTTTTCTGTTATAAGTTTGTTTCAGGGAGCTGTGCGCTTTATGCTGGATGCTTCATGTCAGGGATCAGCTCTCCCTTCATTGCAGGAGGTATCAGGCTGCCAGACAGCGTGGAAGAGATGAAGAGGTATCACACTCTGTTTTATGTGTGTATTGCAAATATAAAACGATCTTTGCCACTGATTTTAATTATCCATATCTGTGTTCCTTAGATCTGCGATGATTCAGAGGTGAATTCGGCCTGTGTTGATGCTCTCTGCTGGGCTTGTCGTTTTCTGCCTTTCTCTCATTTTCTCAGTGCCGAGGAAGTTCTTCAAGACATAATGCTTAGCCTGGTGTCTGAACTACCTCCTATGCCTGTGGTAACAATGTTTTGATTAATTAAATTCTGCATTGTATAAAGAAATACTGTCATTTTTGCTCTTAAGTGAGAACTTTTTGACATTTGACTGTACTCTTTGATAGGTGGCAGACACACTTGTGCAAGCCTTCCCACAGGAGGAGGAGTCTGTCAGAGTGCCTTTGAGAGAGAAATATAAATTACTGCTGGAGAGATTGAAGCAGTGCAATGTTCTTGGTACAAACGCTTCTAAATTTTATAGAATATTTTATAACTAGTTTGTTGTATTTAAAGAAAATTAAATTTTATCTGACTTGTGCCCATCTTATTTAACTGCTTTTTGCTTCACACTTAAAAAACAATTCTTTTATGTAATTTTCTTATATGTTTTTTGAGAAATTCCTGTGTTTTGATTTCTGTCTAAATGAGACAAATTTTCAAATAGACTTTTTAAACGCCTGAACTTGTTTATTGATTTAAGGGAAAGTTTTGATTTTACTCTGTTTCAGGAAAGCATTTGATATTTAAAAATAAATAACTAAGATTGAAAGTTTTTTTATTGCAAGAAAAGTTGAATATATTATAAAAAACACGGGTAGTCTGATTATGTGTGATTGATTATTATTTGTTCATGTTTTCCAGATGCAGAGAAAAAAGAAACCAACAAGTCCATGATGACCCTGATTCAAGACAAAAACAAACACAGGAGGAAACATCTGGCACGTTTGCAGAGGCACTTAGCCCCTCCTGTTCTCCATCTGTGGGAGAAAGAGGAGAACGAAGTGGACAAGGGGAGGAAATATGACACAGTCATGATGGGGCAGCTGTCACTGGGTACAAGTATGAGCACCAGCACCCTAACCGATGGTGGTTTTCAGCCAGTGTACAGTGACATAGACACATCAGAGACTACATCTGTGGCTGTCTCTACTGAACAGCACCTTAGAGCCAGGTATGCAGAGTGGAAACGCTGCTCTACTTTTATTTTGAAGTCTTATAAACACGTGCTGTATTTTATTATGTGCTCTGATTTTATTTTCAGGAACAAAAGCACAAAAAAAGAAGGGAAAGTTAATAAGAAGTTGAAAAATGTCATTCAAGAGAAGGTTGACAAAACTGAAGACAGGAAGACGGGTCAGCCATCCCTACCAGTGATTGGCACATGGGAGTTTGAGCTTGAAGATGAGGAGTATCTGAATTTCCTGGAGCTTTTCCTCTACTATTTGCTAGAGAAGAATAACAGTGATGAAGGGGATTTTGGCAGTGAGTTACCTTTGCTGAGGAGCTTCTGCTCTGAGCTGAGGGCGAGAGAGCTGCATTCTCTTACATTTGATGTACTTTCTACAATCCATCGTCGTCAAAAAGGAGAGCATCATCTCATGAGGAAACACACGAGCAATGCTCCACCAGTGTTCAGAGCTGGTAGCTGCTTTAAACCCGTGAAACGGAGTGAAAAACCTGAGCTGCAAACTTCTTCCGTTTGGAGTGAACCTTGCAACTCCAGGGCCAGCTCTCATCCTGGACTGACAACCGGGAAGCAGAAAGGTTTGTTTGGCCTCCGACAGCAAAACTGTGTACCTACAAGAAACAAGGAAGCTGTCCTTGGTTCTGAAACCAGCCCTGCCAAAAAGGTTTTTAGCACAGAGCAGTCCTCTGAGAGCTTCATATTTGGGTCTTCAGTGTCTTTTGAAGCTGTGACTGACTTACAGCAGGGCCTGGATCCTAAATTAGAGGCTCAGTTTCCAGAGCTGAGCAGGCTGCTGGAGTGGATGGTGCGTTGGGCTGATAGAAGGGTGCTGCTGGGACACCGTGGTAAAAAGAACTTTAAAGAGGGAGAAGCTGATGAAGGAGTCGTGATTCGTGTCAAAGCTTCAGCACCTGCCATCCTCACTTCACTCATTTTGTTGGAGTACAAGTACACTTCTCCACCCCAGACTGAGTGCTACAGTTCCCACATCCAGGTTCCTGAAATGCAATGGACTGTTGCCCCTGTGCTGCAACCTGAGGCGAACAGGAAGCTGGAGAGGGAGAGCAGCGTGGACACAGGCTACCCTGGATCAGCTAACACTCCCATCACTGCTCTAGATCATAATCTGCAACACGGCGAAGTGTGAGTTCCCCAAGTGCTCTTCAGTTTTGTGTAGATTATTAGTGTGCATGGTTCTGTGTTCTAAACTTTTCAACCTTTGCTTTACAAACACAAACGGAGATATTAGCAAATATCACTGTAACTGAACTCTCAGTGATAGTTCAGTATCAGCAAGTACACAATTTGGGGTACACAGATATATTTGCCCTCATCAGAACTTTCTAATAATCTGTCTTTGTTTTACAAAATAATCAGTGTGTGGGGGTGACGAACTCTTATCTGGTGAATCATAGCTGGGGAGTGGTGGCGCAGAGGTTAGAGAAGGTGGGCCTGTGATCGGAAGATTGCTGGTTCAAGCCCCGGTACCGACAACATCAAAAATGTGGGTGGGGTAGGGGAAGCACCCACATCTGCCCCCACCCTCATTCGCCCCACCCTGGGCCCATGAGCAAGGCCCTTAACCCCCATCTGCTCCCCAAACAGGTCTCTCTTGAAAATGAGTTCTCGTGGCTCAATGAGACTACCTGGATAAATAAAGGGTAAATGAAAATTAAAAAATAGCTGCATCTTTTCTACTTTGTGCTGAAACTGACTATTTATTGGCATTGAAATTTTATTTTCACAAAAACTTATGATCAAACATTAAAAGTCATCCAGTAAATAATGGTGTACCTGGCTAACAAGTAATTTGAAACAGTTACTTTTTTGTTGTGTTTTTATTTTAATTTAGCATTATTGAAAATAGTTGTGTGCAGGTATTTGTCAAAAAGTGCATTGAACTGCTAATATTACGCAATTGTACATTTAAAAATGTGAATGTTTATTGTTGTTAATCAGTCAAATTACTGTTTTTCCGCATCTGTGTTAGTATCAACCTAGAGTTTCACCATCATTTTATTCATAATGAAATTGCAAATATTTGTGAATTGTTAATTTTGCATAAAGTGGTTTATTTTATTTTTTGTAAACATGAGAGTCGGCTGGATTTCTATAAAATAATGTTTCTTTATCTTTGCAGTTTTTCTTGTATGGATGAACCAGAGGAACCGACGTTTCAGAGGATGCCTCTTCCATCAGACGAGCTTCAGCTGAATTTAGATCCTCAACAGGAACGTGTCAGTCCACAACAACAGTCTTTTAGTGACTTAGATGTTACGCCTGAAAAAGAAGGTACTGTATGCGGAAAAGTCAAATCACAAAAACCACTTAGTCTCTTATTACAAATAATAATAACTGCTGTGTCTGATTTTGTAGACAGAAGTGGTGACAGTAAGAATTTGGATGCGTTGTCTTCTGGTTCCAACGAGGACACCTCTAAAAATGTCTGCACACCAGATACGGTTAATACCAACAGATTAAATCCTAGTCGACGCATGTGGAATTCAGGTTATTACAAAGACAGAAATAACTGTTGAATTATTTTTCTGTTCAGAGTTTAAAGCTTGAAGATCTTGACTTCTCTGAAAGAGTAGAAGGAATGTCAAGTTCCTCCAAGTAAGTTTTGAATTTGAAATTATAGATGAAGGTGTAAATTACTGAAGGAACGCTTTTACTGTGAGCCAAAATAGAGACTTTATTAGATATTAAAGTCTTTTCATGCTATAAAATGATTTTTGTTGTTTACAAGTCTGTAAACTGATTCTTCAACAAAAGCAACTGTTCTGAAGTTTTCTGTTGTGTTTTTGAATCCACAGAAGTCCTCCTGAACTCGCAGGAGCTCCTGCTCCTCCTGCTGCTCAGCCTAAAACTACTCTTTTAGCAGAATTTACCGATTCAAGTAGAGCGGATCTCCCTAATCCAGCTGTGAATCCCCCAAACCACCAACCACAAAGCTCCACAGCTGGTGCACCCACTGCTGATTCAACTTCCTTCAATCAACCATCAGTTACTTCACCAACAAGGCAGCGCCTGGGTGAAGACTTATTCCGACTGGTGCAGGTAATAACAGACTATTTAAACAAAATAAGTGAACTTATTACGAACTCTGTATTCTTTTGCAGCACATCAACTATATGAGTCTGAGCGAAGTTTTGGGAGCTTCTTTTTCCAACCTTCAACAAGCCCAGCAGAGCTCGTCTGTGGCTCCACCTGGAATGAGCTCATCACAACCTAAAATGCCATCATCTCCTGCAAAAATCATCCCAGAACCAAATGTATCGCCTGTTCAAACTATTGTTGCCGCTGCACCTCAAACACAGGAAAGTGCGCCCAAACCAGGACGTAGTGACTCTCAGTTTAATCTGGTCACATCATGTGAGTTGGCAGATCAACCTGTCAGGCAAAACGCCACCAAAATCCCCTCGGGAGCCAACCAGTATCATGCCAAACAAAATATATTCTCCTGTGCCAGTGGTGCAGGTGTGAGCTATCAGGTAAAAGTGTAATGTTCTTTTTCATGTAAAATATTGTCTTTAATCGCAAACGCTTACAAGTTCTCTCTTCTTCAGGAGATGCAGCCACTTTCTGTCCAAGCACAGTCACCATATGTTCAGCAGAGGGAGAAGAAAAGCTTGATCCCCTCTTCACAGGGCCTCCTGGCCACTACTGACACATGTCCTGCTATTCAATGCCCCCCTGTGCTACTGCCTTCTAGTAGCAGTGCACAGAATGACTCTTCTCCTCAGGTGTTAGGCCTTAAGTTACTTAAACTGCATCCTTCTGTGATGTTCCAACAAAGTGCTCCACACACTCTGCACACTACAAACCATGAAACCTTTGGCTCCTATCAGCCCAAGGACAAACACAAGGATCAAGCCACTGGAAAGAAGATACGTGGAGAACAAAAAAAAGTGTTTTCAGCTGCAACCAAACATCTCAGTTTTAACCCTCTACATAATCCAACCCCCAGGAACCCTCAGCCCCAGATGCAGGAGTCTGTAGGTCAATTTCGTCCTGCTTTCCCAACCTTCCCACAAACACCAGTGCAGGGACTTCGCCTGCTGCAGTTGCAGGGTAGTTCACAAAGCAACATCACCTTTCCTAAACTGTCATCACCCGTTGTTTCTAGACCTGCTATCGTTTCAGCCCCAGTGGCAGGAGCACCTATGATTAAGCTTCTACACATTGATACTGGACCTAAAATGGTAAGCAGTCCTGTCGTTGCTTTAAGAGATTTAAATTTGGCCACATTACATCTTGTAATGTCAGCTGTTTGGAATTTTGCCTTTACTGCAGATGATGCCCCATGTGGTTCCTCCAGCTCTTACGACCCGTCTTATTTCCATGGAAGAGTTAACTCATTCAGAAATGTGGCGTCGTGATGCTGAGTACGCTCAGCTGCAGTTGCTCAAAGTCGATCGAGATACCAAAGACATTAGAAGACCATCTAGCCCTGCCAGCTGCACCCCCAGCAAGAGGCAATTAAAAATTGTTTTGTGTTTGTGTCCTTCTTTATGACTCACTGGTTATTGTACTGAATGTGTTCACTTTGTTACTTAAAGGCAGAAGAGGAGAGAAGAGAGGGCAAAGAGCATAAAAACAGAGGTCACATTCCGTCTAAATGAATCTATCATCCCACCACAAGAGGTACAGTGTTATTTCTTTTGTATAAAGAATATTGCCAAACTTCCTTTTATTTGTTTTGTTTATTATTTTATTATATATTTAGGCAGTGGCTGCTCCTGCAACGGAAGAAGCTGTGATTGCTGAAAGGATCACTCCTACACAAGACGCGACAGGTAACAGAGCTTTATATGGTTCAGCTAACATACACTAGATCAGGGCTATTCAACTAAATTGCTCAGGGGACCACAGTTACTCAAAGCCAAGAGCTTAGGGGCCAGATATCCAGCTGTTATTCCCATTAAGTAAGTTTGTTTTACGATTTAAAATGTAGTTTTATTTAAAAATGAACACATTGATGGGCCGAACTGAGCACACACATGGGCCTGATTTGGCCCTCGGGCCACCAGTTGCATAACCCTGAATAATAGTAACCCTGCACTAGATTCATATATATATATATATATATATATATATATATATATATATATATATA